AACATGTGATTGGTTGAACTCATGATTGATTGAATGAAATGAATGATAAAGTTAGTGATCAATTGTATTTGAGTTTTATCGAATGTAAAATTGATATTGTGCCGATTTGTTTTGAATCAAATGAATTTATTTTTAAATTTTACTAATTGTAGAATTGATATCATACCAATTTGTTTTGAATCGAATGTATTTAATTTTGATTTTTTTGTAGAATTAATATCATACCAATTTGTTTAATGAATTGACTTTGTTTTGAATTGGTTTGATTTTGTTTTATATTAACTTTATTTTAGCATTGACTTTTTTTTATTGATCGTGAAAATGTCGAGGGTAATTTTTTTTAAGGTGGGTTGATTGTAACAACTTGAAATATGTGAAAATAATTATAAAATAAAATTCTCAAAAATTTGAAAAATTAAGTTGGAGTGTTGCGGCACTATGCTTGTAAGTAGGGCTGTCAATATTTGACCTGACCCGAAAATCTGATCTGAATCCAACCCAAAAATCTTTAGTTTGAGTTAGGGATTTCGACCCATTTGTAAAACCGGTTCGGCAACCCGAAATCAACCTGGTTTGACTCGTTTTTAATTGATTTAGGAGGGTTTTAAAAAATTATTATGAAATAAATAAATGTTATTTCCAAAAAATAATAAATTATTTTGTTCAAAATTGAATTAAGCTTGGTTTATTTTAAGTTGATTGAAGTAAATCTTATCATAATTCGATTTAGGTTTAAATAAATTAAATTAAATAAAAATATTTTAGTAAAACATACCCAAAGCGATTCGGGTTTGGGTTGACCCGGACTTGAAGCAGGTCGGGTTCAAGTCCAAAAAACCGACTCATTTGCAAAAAATGGGTTGGGTCGATTAGTGCCGGGTCAGTTCCAGATCAAATTCTTTTAACTTAATACTTGTCCTTGGTGCAGTCGTCGCCTAACTCTTATTTGGCTTGTTTTCAAACAAAATTGCTCCTCAAGTTCATTTCGAATAAAATAAGTAACAAACACCCTAATATTTTACTCTGTAATATATGCTAATATTTTTATTCGATGGACTAAGTACAATATAAATATGACACAACATTTGTCACACAAATTTGAGGTAGATTCATACATAAGAACTGAGCTTCGCAAGTATTGTCGTCAACTATGACATTGCTTCCTTATTTGGCATTATGGGTCCTCACCAAATTTTTTTTAATGCATATCAGGGGTGTCAATATTTGACAAGACTCGAAATCTGACCCGGACTCGACTCGGAATTTTTTTGTTTTTGGGTCAACCCGTTTGTTAGACAGGTTGGGTTCAAGTTAAAAAATGTGACCGTTTCTAAAATTGGGTCTGGTTTGAGTTGACCTAGAAACCCGAAATCTACCTGAAGTTGACCTGAGTTCAGGTCCGCTAGCCTTTCGTGCCATGGGTTTCGCCTGGCCTAGCCTGCTAGCAAGTTGGAGTAAGGACGCTGAGCCACAGAGCCTTGAGGCACATCCACAATCAGTGCCGCATCTCAACCCTAGCCCTATCCTAGCTCGTCATGGCCGCCTTCACCTCTCAAGTCGTCACGCGCCCAGCCGCCTAGGAAGCATGCGGTAGTCAACATGCTTGCATGAGGCACTGCCTTGGCCGGTTTGTCTGGCCTAACCTGCCTTCTGGCAGGGGTTCATGCATCTGGATATTGGCCACACGATAGTTAGAATTTGACCACTACCTCTGTTACTACTAAAATTACACCACTAGATCTATTTTAAACTCTTACTAAAGCTTCATTTGGGGCAACTTTCTTAATGTTTTCTAAAGCAACTTTCTACTACAAAATTTTTTAATTCAAGAAATTTTTATACTGGAAATTAATTTTAGAAAGCAGCAAAAAAATCATCTCAAATGAAGCCTAAATAACAACAAAAAATTAATATTTTTCTTAAATAATAAATTAAAATGAAACCAAGATTCCTTAATAATATTCACAATAGTTGATGGAAATAATCTTTTTTTTTTCCTTTAATTACATGGAACAAGTCCTCTCCATGCAACTTGGTGTATTAAAATAATTATTAGACCAAGCCTCAACGACAAAACAAACAGCTTAGTCCAGTAACTTAGTTGATATGGTATCTTCTTGTAGCATCAGAGCTATTAATTTTATGATTGACTCCAATTTATGATAATATAAATATGACAATCTATTTTTAACTGTTTGTACCAATTCAAATTGGTATATAGAGTCAAACCACTCTCTTAGCCTCTTTAAACATTACCAGCTTTGCCTTGCCTGGCAACCTAATCTGGTAAAGAGTGTAAAGAGTCAAATCAAATTCTATTTGTCTCTGTTTTGCTTTTTAAATGTCTAAGTTGATAATCTATTAATTTGTCACATCTGAACAGATATTTGAAGCTGGACTTTAGTTCCATGCAGGATATACAGTACACAAAACTTACTAAAATAGAAGACCACTTCAAGCTTCATCCAATCTTTTAAAATGAAGTCCATAACACAGTAGATAACTAACTCTTCAGAATTATGGAATATGCAGGAGGAGTTTCGTGCAGTAGCGTTTTCTGTATTATTATTTTTGGGACATTTAGGTCAATTAACGATAACTCACACACGCATCACATACGTAAGCTTCGAACCCAAGACCTCTTGGTTGGTAGCCAAAGCTCTCAACCAACAGATCAAGATGAGCTGCGTATCATGATGCATGTACTCGCCTCACTTAGGTCAAAATACTTAGTATTCTGATACACTGTAAATCTTATACAAAATTACTCAATAGACTTCTTGAATTTTTATGTTAGGGAGGTTTTGAAGATGAGTATAAGATTCTTTATAGGTGTCTTGAGGCTTCAACAGGATTATTAGAGAAATCTAGTTGTTCTTTACATATTTGTTCTTGTAAGATGAAGAAATTGATTATCTTTTTAATGCTGAGATTTCAACACGATTATTAAAGAAATCTAATGAAATCAAGATGCATAGCGAAACATTGAGGAATCTAATCTAAGAGCAGGCCCTTTCTCTTGTTAAGATAACTATCATGAAGAGTCTCTAATCTAAGAAAGTTGGCAATACCAAAGTAAGTTTCTATGAATGTGAGGGTTTATGGTGTGGGAATGGAGGCTATTCTTGTAGATTTTAGAACATCAGTAGACATTATGGAGGATCTCTTAGAATCTACTCTCATAACAAAGACAAAAATTATATTATTGAATAGAGGATGATGAGTACCAATTTTCCTTCCTTATGGTCTCCTTAATAGTTGAGACTAAAAGGATTCTTGATTAAGTGAGATTGGAAACTCATCACATAGATCTTGGTTAGTTGTGTGTCAAACCATATAAAACTCTTGCTTCCAATTCTCTATAATTTAGTTTTATACACTTGTAAATTTATTTAACTTACATGCTTGATAATTCTTTCTTGTGGTTACTTTGTCTTGCGATATAATGATTAAGCGATTATTTAGAATGTTCCTAATAATGTTATTCTCTTGCTCTAAACATAGCATCGTTGCGATCACAATCATTATTGTATGGACACTAATTTGTGCATTCTTGGTGTTTGATAATCTAAGTGAATCATAGCTTGGGTAGTTGTGTTGCTCTATTACTTTGAGCTTATAAGTTATAACACTTATATATCTAACTTTATCTTATATTTAGCACTATTATGCACTTGAGCATTTACTCTACTAAGCTATTTTGATTATTACACGAGCTTGTATTAATCAAGTAATATGATTATTGAGGTTCTTATTAGATATTCATTAACATCAATATAAAAAAAATATATATTTCATAACTCATTAACTTATATGTGATTGTTTTATTTAGCATTTAATTTATGTGTATTTTATTAAGTGTAAATTATATACTATTTATTGTGTTGAAATTCAGTGAAAATGTATTATTTAAATTGTGTTTGTGCATGAAATGCTCATAAGAAGGAAAAAATTCAAAAGTGGTGAATGAGCACTACAGTACCCACATATTATGCTCCCTAACATTGTCAACAACAATGCTCTAATACCATTTTTAAACATTTCAACACCGACCGCTCGGGAATTTAAGGAATAATTAGCTCCCCGACGAATCCAAGGTCATCACCACAGCATCAAAAATTCGTGTCGCAACACTTAAGTCTCAAGAATTTGAACAATGGAGTGCCAATCATCACAACACCACAAAGTCGGATTGCATTTTCAAGCCCCACAATGTTTAACTTTTACAACATCGTGGCAAAACAGTTATCAAAATGAGGACATGTTAATTCAATCATTAATCGTGCTAGGTCAATACAACATCGCAGCGGAGCAAGTATAACATGCCAAGGCATTAGTTCATTTTATAATGCCATAGTGCCCATACTCTAAGCGTCGTGACACTTGAGTCCATTTATGCCCTTCTTGTAAATAGGTTTTCATTTGTTTTGTGAGAAGGGAGTGAGTGCTGTTAGAGTTGTGTCATCTTTAGTGGAGTCTCATACTTTAGAGTGATTTTTTTTAGTTCTACCTTGGAGTAAATATTAACCTCATTTTTATATGAGGTCATCAATCCATAATCTTGATCATCAATCTAATGGTTGACAGTCATCCAGTTGTGTTGCAAATCTAAACCCAAGTCCTATAATTTTGATGATAACAAACATTATTGGATTCCTTACTATGCTATATCCTGTTAATTACTATTATTGCATATATGTTTTTCCTGTGCACTAACATTTTTGGTCCACCATACACTTGCAAGTTTGATCAGCTCAAAATTGTGTAGACTAGGGTTAAATATGTCATGAAATGTCTGTAATTTCAATTCCTATATATTTTTACCTTTCTTGAGCCAAGTCATATATTTGATGGATACAAATCTTAGAAATCATACACACACACACACACACTCAAGAGAGTGAGTTTGTGACAATAACAAAAGTTAAATTTTTTTAACTAATCGTACAGTACGACCAGCTAATCAAAAAATTATTAAAATAACTAATTTTGAACCGAACATCTCTGACTACTTCACTTTCCTGGCTCCAATTGACTTGCAAGGCCGGGGACGTCGATTTACAGCATACTTTAATAAATTATGTGATTTTTTTGATAAAATGATAGAAAACCGATTGGCAGCTACAACTGGAGAAGGTAGGACTAATCAAGACATTTTGGATGTGCTTCTTCAACTAAGTCGAGAAGATAATTCCAAGCTTACTAGGCGAACCATAAAATCCTTCTTGTTGGTAATTATTAATCATGATATTTCTGCATGCACGATAAATTTCCTAATTTGCATTATATATTAAAGTGCTGTTTGGCAGCAGGTTTTAGGCCGAATTTGAGCGAAATTAAGCCAAACGGCCTAAAATGCAAAACCAAATCTCACGGAAAACTAAATTCGCTTTAGACAGAAAATTTCGCTGATTCGTTCTAAATCCCGCATTTTCGAAATCATGTATTTTGCCAGATTTATGAAATCGATGGTGCTTGAGGAGAGTCTCATCCTTAAATCTTGCTATATAGCCAAACAATCAAATGAGATTTAAGTGGATTTATCAAAAAGCTCACCAAACAATTTTTAGGAATGAAGCCCCACAACATTTTCGAAATCTGGATTTAGAGGATTTATAAAATCCTACTTAAATCAAATCCGGGGTGCTACCAAACAGCCCCTAAAATATAATAAATTTCTTTTAACATTTTGTCAGGATTCTTTTATCGCTGGAAGCGAGACGAGCTCAACCACACTGGAGTGGGCGATGGCAGAATTGCTTCGCAGGCCAGAACTGATGAAGAGGGCTAGAGAAGAGATCATTACTGTAGTCGGATTCGAGAGAGAAATTGAAGAGTCTGATATCTCAAAACTACCGCTCCTCCAAGCAATTCTGAAGGAGACACTCCGGCTTCATCCACCGGTTCCACTTCTACTACCTCATAAAGCAGAGGTAAGCACGGAGATAAATGGCTACTTGGTCCCGAAGAACACTCAGGTGCTCGTAAATGTGTGGGCGATAGGTCGAGATGAGCAGGTTTGGGAGAAGCCGGACTGCTTTATGCCTGAAAGGTTTATGGAAGCCGGAAGCAGCATAGATTTTCGAGGGCAGCACTTTGAGCTAATACCATTTGGTTCTGGACGGCGAATCTGTCCTGGACTGCCTTTGGGCGTTCGGATGGTTCAGCTCATGCTGGCCTCACTCATTCAATCCTTTGAATGGAGTTTGCCGGACGGAATGAAGCCTCAGGATTTGAATCTCAACGAGCAGTTTGGTATCACACTTAACTTGGCTTCTCCACTCAAGGCTTTGGCTATTCCTGTCAGAAAAATGTGATCGTCAACTTGCAAATCAGGGCTTGTAATATCTAAGCTTCCTTCAATGGCTGTATCATCACCATTAAACTTCCTATTGATTAAAGTACTATTTGACATAAATTATTATATGAAATGCTCTTAATTAAAGTACTATTGATTAATGCTCCTATTGCATGTATTACTTTAATTTTTTTATGCTGAAATCAATTACGGTAAAAGTTTTATTGCAAGGAAACAAATTTTTATTTACTAGTTTTAAATTTTAATAGATCAAATTGCGTACTCGGCTAATCCTTGTTTGTTAGGACAAAATGTGAAAAGTATGACTACTATTATTCTTTTTTTCTTATTTTAATTATTTTTATTTTCTATTTTTTTATGTGACTGCCATTATTCTTTCATCTAACACTTTAACTGATTAGCGCTTATTTAGTATAATTTTTTCACTATTTTTCTTTTTGGAAGTCAGTAATAGTTCTGTTTGGCTCTACTTTCTCATTGCTATTCAAACTTTGTTGTTGTAGAAAAGTATTTTTTACAATTAGAGTTACTAATGTATGAAATTTGTTTGATAGTGTTTTAAAAAAATGATTTTCCCCACAATAAATTTATAATCACTTTTATAAAACGTTTCAGTCATCCCAACAAACTCTTCGTAGGCCATATAGATTTGTGGAGAAAAGCAGCATAGGTTAGCTCAACACAATACCATTACAAATCCTCGTTAAAATAATATGGAAATAAGATTATTAAAAAAAAATAAATATTAAAAATAGTCTAATAATGAAAGGCTTTAAAATAGAGAATGTGGGAAAAAACAAACTAATTCGAACTTTATAACTCATAAATCAAAATGAAACATAGAAAGTGTAGGACTAGCCTGAACCCAACCCATACAAGAAATTTGCAACTCTAATCACAATAGACATATAAGCAAATAAAGCATCAAAGGCCAAAGAGTAGGAGGGCTTTTATCTAACGACATTAGAGAAGATTAAGCAAGAATGATAAATAGTAAATCATTAATGAAGTAATAGAAGGCTATAGGAAAGGTTTGGTACATAAAGTAGTTAGGAAATTGAGTAGTTTGATAATATTGTTTAATTGCAATTTATTTATGCTTCGAAATTGTAGAGTTAATTTGATTAGAGGGTGCAATTAATGGAAGGTCGCTCTCAAGTCAAAATGCCAATTGTGAAAAAGTGTGGGTTGTCTCATAAAAGAGATCCTTAAGGATTGTGGTTATAGCTATTATAAATGAGATTTTATATTATCGTTATCATTGCCACGCAGAAAAAAAATTAACTAGTCATAATTAAAAAAATTATTTCCCTTATAAAATACGAATTTAGAAAATAAAAAAGTGTTAAACGTATGGCCATGATACAATCAATTAACATAAGAATTTTAATTAGGATATTCCGATAAGTTTTTGTGGGGATTTACATAAAAAATTAGCGCTAATCACAAACTAAAAAATTAGTAGTTAGAAATATTAGATGGGGACATGGGACTTCACACGTCGATCATATGCAATGGCATATGTAAGGCTGTATGGGCATTGCTTTCCTCCCTTTTTTTTGGGGGAAAAATTTGGGTAAAGCCCGTATATTAAGAAAAAGAAGGCATACAAGTAAAAATAAAGATCTCCACCAAAAAGAAGGAGAAGCTCACAATGAACTCAAACAGAGGCAAAAATTACAAAGCCAAACTATACTAGAAGGAACAAGAACCCGAAAAACCAACATGAGTCGGAACTCTGGCAAAAATCATCTCATCAATATGAGATCCATAATAGAAGGCACCCTGGTTGCCCCAAGACCGTCAAAAGGTAGCCATAGTGGATGCGGACATCATTATCCCAGGCTCTACCGCATGAAGAACCCACCCTTAGGAACAACACCCATAAAGAATTAAAGTAACTCCAGCAACTTGATTCCATTTTTCCATTTGCATACTCTAGCAAAAATGTTACTCTTAATCTTTCGAGAGATAGTAATAGAATTACTAGCAGTCGTACCAAAACACTTCTCATTTCTTTCCCTCCAAATGTAAAAAATAGCACAACAAGTAGCTAGGAAAAACAACATTTTTTCATCCGCATAAAAAGTATCTTTTTCACTAATCCATTCCCTCAAGTAGGCAACATTAGGCTAAAGAAACAAAGAGTCAGCTTTCCTCCAATTTTTCATATATAAGATGTCTCTATACTCATGTGCGGTTTCCCATAGAGGTCAGAGTGGCCTATAAAAAGAATAAATTTAGAATTTTGACTCCTCTAAGAAAATATTTTGCCCAAATTATTTAAGATACTCATTGAATGATATATTTCTCTTACAAAAAATATAACGTGCTTACTTTCTAGTTCTTATAAAATAAGAGGTAAGTTTTATCCAATGGAGAAAGAAGTGACTTATGATTTTTATATGTTGGGTTTCTTTTGCCTTGGATTTGATAATGCATGGATGTAAGAGTCATAGGGATGGCTATGTAACAGGCAAGCAACTTCAAGAAACGAAGGCCTTTAATTTTTCATTTTTTGGATTTTTTTTCATATCCTTTTATTTAATGGATATATGTGGATGGGGAAGCTTTTATATGCAAGTTGTCTTGCATATTTTATGATTTAATTATCTTTTTTTTCTAAAGTTAGATAATCTTTAGCTAATTCATTATTATTTTTCTCTCAGTTAGAGTCAAGATTCAACAAAACTTACATGATTATACTCCAATTTATATAACTAAAATCAATGTTATATTCAAAGATAAATGATAAAAATTTTCATTATATTGATTGAATTTAAAAATATATATTTTATTATTATTACTATTTATTATTGATATTAATTTTTTATATATATTATTGTTGTTTGTTAATATTTTAATACTAAAAAAGAATTACTGAATCCACCCTCATTAATTTATATTAAATATAATTGATGTTGACAAATGGGCATTGCATTTCTTCCACAGCTTATAAACATTGCTCTAGATTTCTCTTCCATAGCAACATTAACGAGAAAAAAATGCATCTTATTGCTTGGTCTCAGGTTACCAAGCCTAAATGTTTTGGTGATCTTGATATTTCATCTATTGATTCTCTCTATCGTGGTGTTAATTACTCTATCATCTGTAGGTTTTATAAGTTTCAATCATTTTTGAGCTCTTGGTATAAAGTTAAATTAATTTGAATCACCTTGGAAATCTCCTCCACCCCATACCTCCAAGTTTTGGAAAAGAATATGTGCTACTGCTTTAAATTAAGATTAAAGACTGCATTTCCTTTTCTATGTCTCAAGATAGTAACTTTTCTATGCTTTGGGACCCTTGGCTTCAAGGCAATTCGATTTCTCATTGCAGCAACATTTCTATTTTTGCTGAAAAATCTATGCAGGGCTTTATTTAGATTATCAATGGCAATTTCCTATTAGCTTACCTAATGCTCTCTCTGCTGTGATTAATGATATAAGTATCAATGAGAAGTCTGAATTATTATGGAAAGGCTCTCCCAAGACTTCCTTCAGAGAATTTATCTCTCATTTCTACTCTCATTTATCGGAGGTTAACTGGTTAATTTTATTTGGCACAAAAAATATATCCTTAAATATGCTTGCTTTGCTTGAATGACAATGATTGAAAAACTCAAGACTGTTGATCTTTTATTGCATAGGGGGATTCATGTTTCTCATGAATGCTCTTTTTGTCTTAACTCTCCTGAGAATTACTCCCATTTATTTTTTGCTTGTGACTTCTCCTTTACTATCCTCACGGCTATTTCACCTGATCTTAATTGCTTCTTTACTAAGACCCAACCTCTCTCAGATTTATGAATTCATTGAAAATTTGTAGCTATATAGCATATTGGAAAACAATTTTTGTTACTTATCTATTAGCTGAATCATTTATCATCTTTGGAGGGAGAGAAACAATCGTCGTTTCTCTAATTTGAGGGCTGTTCAAGTAAAAATTCGATGCATTCTCTCTACTACTATCCATTTCAAATTAACAAATTGGAAACTCAAACAATTTTTGCTTCAAAGAATTTTTGGTATCTAATGTTAGTCATGTTGCCTTCTATCTCTGTTATTTGGGTTTTTTGTTACTTTGGTTATGATGAACCTTCATATGTTCTATTTTTTCATCATTGGAAGGCCTCCCTGGCATCCTTGGGAGAGGCGGAATTTCAATTCTAGAGCAATTTTAATTGCTGGGAAGGTGTTCTTGTCGTTTTGTTTTAATTGGTTTAAGGGCTATTGTGGTTTCTATTCTTTGCAAATCTATTATTGCAAGATTCTGATGGACTCCAGTTTTGAGTGTTGGGTTTTTAATAATCTGGCAATGATGAGCAAGGCCGAACTCATCCATTCTAGTTATGGATGGCCTGCGCGCGTGGCAACCTGGCTGTGGGACTGAATGGAATTTTGATGTTTGCAGCTTGAGGTTCTATGATGGCCATCCTATTCATTATTCATGTGATGTTGTTCTGTTCTTATTTGCCTTTGAATTCTTTTGGCAACCTGAGCCTTCTCCGCAGCTATGATGGCTACCTTCTGATAGATTTTGATGATTGGTTTTTGGTCTTATATCTCTGAGTCTTTTTGATTATCTTGATCCCTTCCCACTAATTTTTTTCTTGGCGGTTTGTGGATTTAGGTGTTGTTTTCCTTTTCCTGCTTCATATGTTTACATGTAATTGAATTTTTTCTTTAATACAAGGGCTTTTGCCCCGGGTTTTAAAAAAAATAATAATAATAATAAAAAGAATTATGACTCACGAGCGTCCGAAAATAAAAATTTTAAAAATATGTGTTACTTGGTGTGTGTCGGCAGTCTAGCTCTGACTATAATATAGTCTTCTTCTAAATTTTTTTATATATAGTTAGGGGTGTCAATTTCGGGTCACGGGTCGGGTTCGAGTCGAACTCGAAACTGACCCGGCACTATTCGGGTCAACCCGAACCCGACCAGTTTTTAAAAACGGGTCATTTTTCCTGACCCGAACCCGACCCGCTTCGGGTCCGGGTCAACCCGACCCGACCCGAATGACCCGTTTCCAACAAGAAAATGGCTAATTTTCGGGTCAAAAAACGGGTCAAACTCCTCTTTTCGGGTCAAAAACGGGTCAAAATCGGGTCAATCTCGGGTTGCCGTGTCAAA